CCCCCCGCTTCCTCGTCTTCCTGCGCCGCTCACTGCCCCCCCCTCGCTGCCACCCCCCTCCCTCTGCCGACACCTCGGGGCGACGACGGGTCGCACTGCGGCGACGTCCTGCACCCCAGGCGTGGAGTGGAAGTTGTAGGCCTGTCGGCGGAGATTGCTCCCTCCGCGCCAGGGTGTCGAAGCGGCCCGGGGGCCCCAGTCCGCTATGCAGTCCAGCATGCAGCCCCTCGTCTGGCCCCCTTCGCCCCCTCCTCCACCCTTCTGTCTGCATCGCTCGGACGTGTGATATTGTTTTGGCGGGGACCATCGAAGAGAATCCTGGATCATCCTGCAAGAACAAAGCGCACGAAAGCGAAGAACGCACTGGGAATGGACGTCCGAGGGATGGCGAGTTCCCCCGTTTTGCTCTTCCTTCCTCCCCCATCCCGTTCCCCATCCCCTCCTTCAACCCGGCCTCCTTATCCTTCCCCCTCCGCACGCAGTCCTCGTTTTGCTCGAGTTCTGCCCCCTCCCTCCCTCCACCTCCTCCCCTCAGGTGTTGCCAGAAGCGACGCTGGCCCAAGGTTCCCCCGGCATTTTCGCCCCGTCTTGGAGCTCCCGGGGCGTCTGGGCCTCGTGAGGTGTACTCTGGAGCCCGTCGGGGCCACCCGGAAAATTCTGGGGCACCCTGGCCCAGGGGCACTTCTGGCAACACCCGATCCCTTCCTCGCCGCCGCGGCGAACGCCTGCCCCTGCGGCGTGGGAGCTTTTCGACCGCGCCGGCGTGCAGCCCAGGTGGGCGCAAAGGCAACCAGCGGCATCCTTCAGGGAGGGAGGGGGAGGGAGGATTGAGAAGTGAGGAGAACATGGAGAGGGGGAGGGGCGCAGGGCGCGCGACAGAGACCCGCCAGAGACCTGTGCGCGCGGGGGGGGGGCGGCTGGCGGCGGCGGCGGGGGGGGACGCGGCAGGGCGGCGCCGGCGCGATGGCGGCGGCGGGCCGGCGGACGTGGCGCGCACCCCGGGGGGCCCCGCGGCGTCCTTGATTTTGGGCCCCCCAGCCCCGGAGGGGGAGGCGATCGAGGAGGGAGGAGGAGGAGGAGGACGAGGACGAGGACGAGGAGGAGGAGGAGGAGGAGGAGGAGGAGGAGGACGAGGAGGATCAGTAGGGGGAGGATGAGGAGGTGGAGGAGGAGGAGGAGGAGGAGGAGGAGGGGGCAACTCCCTTCGCGCGCGCCGCGCGGCCCCCCTTTTTGTGTTTTCGGGCGATCCACCGCCTGCCCTCCGTGAGTGGGCGCGTGCCTGCGCTGGCCGGAGGTTTGCATGTGGGCGGGCAGCAGCAGCGGCAGCGGCAGCGGCAGCAGCAGCGGCAGCGGCAGCGGCAGCGGCAGCGGCAGCGGCAGCGGCAGCGGCAGTGGCAGCAGCAGGCGAGGGCGGGGCAGGGGGCGGGCAGGACGACAGGGGAAGCCGGAGGGGGGAGCGGAAGGGGGGGGTGGCAGGAGGGTGCAGGATGGCAGAAGGCCCTGGGGAGGGAGGAGTGGGTGACAGAGGGAGGAACGGGGGAGATCGAGCAGTCGGAAAAGGAGGAGGAGGAGGAGGAGGAGGAGGAGGAGGAGGCAGATGGCGTGGGATGAAGGAGGGCGATCAGGAGAGGGATGAATTGCTGGTGGGGTCGGGGAGAGGAAATAGAGGATGGTGGATTGGGACGAGGGGTCATGGGGCAGAGAAGCGATTGTGAGTGAGATAATAGGTGATAGGGAGATGGAGGGGTAAGGGGGCAGGGGAGAGAAAGGGTGTCGGGGGCAGCACGGATCAGGGACGATGCGCGATGCATCACGGAGGAGAGGCTTCCTGAGGTTCTTCACCCCCTTGCGTCATCCACCCGAACTCGGCCAGTTTTCGCGTGGGCTCCTTGCTCCTCCTCCCTTCTCCCTATCGTCGGCGGCGAGCCCGAGGGGGAAGTGAGGAGGAGACGTCGGGGGCCTTGAGACGGGGGTCAATGCAGACGGGGATCAGCCACGGCACCGGATCCCGCAGGATCCTGCGAAGACCCCCTCTGGCTGACCCGGGTTAGCGAGCCGCTCGTGGCCGCGAGGGCGGCCGCGCATATTGGCTGACCCGGGTTTGCGAGGACCTGCGTTGCAGTTTTTTGTTCCTGCATTGCAGTTTTTGGTTTCCCGCTGACCCGGGTCTGGATTGACCCGGGTCAGAAGATCCCCGAAGAGGGCCTTCTCAGAAGGTTCGGAGGTCCTCTGCTGGCCTTCTGATAAGTTTTCTAAGCCTTCCCCGAACACCAAAACAAGCACCCTCTCTGAAGGCGCGGAGGCTTTGAGAAGTCCCGCCGCCTTCTGAGAAGGCCTCCTCCTTCTCATTTCCCACCCTCGTTCGTTGCCGACGCTGTCATCTCACCCTCGCCCCCCCCCCTCTCTCCCCGCTCCCCAGCGGCAGTGCGGCCCCTCCGTGCGCGCTCGAGGGGCCGCGGCGTACGGCGGGCCCCCCCTCCCCCCAGGGGCCAGGGGCAATGATAGGGGGGTTGGACAGACTAATTAGATGCTCGTTTGGGGAATTTTCCTGGGGCCCACCGGACAGTTCCGTTCGACTCTAGTTCGACCCCAGTGTGACTCAAGTTCGACTCAGGTCCGACTTCGGTTCGACTCGGGTTCGACTCGGGGCCGACTCAAATCGACGGACGTTCGACGCAGCTTCGGCGCACGAGTGGAGCGAGTGCCCCCAGGACGGTCCCCAGAGTGCGCATCCAAGGCAAAGGAGGGGCACGCAGTGCCCCCCGATCGCCACTGGATCGCCGCTGGGGGCCCGACAGCTCCACCCCGCCCAGGAGCGTGGGGACTCGCCAGCGAGTGCCTATCGCCAATCCATCGGCGAGGCATCGCCGCTTCCAGGTCCACCCTCCCTCCCCTACCCAGGCCTCCTGCGCTTTCTCTTTGCTCCGCGGCGCGGGCCCCCGCGACCTCCCCGACCACCTCCCCGGGACCGGTGCTTCACCCCGAGCCGTTTCTGGTGACGGGCCCGAGGCCTGGAGAGGGCCCCATGGATCTGCACGCACGAAATGGGTACTGAAAGAATGGGACAATGCCCAACAGCGGATCTTGTTCATTTTGAACAGGATTCGCTGTCCACGCCGCCGCGGTCTGTGTCCATTTGAGACAGAGGGCCGCCTGCCCAACAGCGGCCGCTGTTGGTTTGGGACAACATTGTGTGTTGGGCATTGTACCCATTCTTCCGGTACCCATTTCGGGCGTCCAAAGCCTGGAGAGGGCCCCATGGAGGCCAACGAGAGTTGTGAAGAAAACTCCGTCTCGATGTTTTGTTTGGAGGCACCCGATGTTTGTATGGTTGTCCCCCCCTTATAGTGGGCCCCGGAAGCGACAAGGCCGTTGTTGAACCGGTTCCGTGTTGCCGTTTCTGTTGCCGGTTCCGACGCCGTTTTTCCACCGGTTCCGTCGCCGTTTGTTGACCGGCTCCGGCTCCGGTTCTGGTTCCATTCCTGGAGCCGTTTTCGTTGCCGTTTCCGGTCGCCGTTTTTTTTCCGTTTCCATTCTCAAGGGGCATTTTTTTGGGAAACGGTGAAAAACGGCCCTGCCGTTTCCGGTGCCCACCAAGGCTCAAGGAGCCCTTGGCTGCAGAAGAACAAGACACTGCAGAGCACACAATTTCTCGGAGGTCCGCGCGGATTTCTTGGATCGGCGCTGGAGGCAAACAAAAATTATGAACAAAAATCCGTCTCGATTCTTGTTTGGAGACACCCGATGTCTGTATGGTTGTCCCCCCCTGCCGCTGCCCCCTCAGAGAAGGGGGGCCGGGCGGGCGCGGCTGCGGGCGCGTGCCCGGCGGCCTTTCGGCCGCCCCGCCGCGTCCCGCGGCGCGCCGCGGCCGTGCCGGCGGAGAAATCCGCACGGCGCTGCCTGGGGCCCACAGGCCAGCCCGCCGCTTGCTTTGTCGTCGCCGCCGTCGGCCGCTGTCGTCGCCGTCGTCGCCGTCGCCGTCGTCGTCGTCGTCGTCGTCGTCGCCGTCGCCGTCGCCGTCGCCGTCGCCGTCGCCGACGCCGTCGCCGTCGCCGTCGCCGTCGCCGTCGCCGTCGCCGTCGCCGTCGTCGCCGTCGCCGTCGTCGCCGTCGCCGTCGTCGCCGTCGCCGTCGCCGTCGTCGCCGTCGCCGTCGCCGTCGTCGCCGTCGTCGCCGTCGTCGCCGTCGCCGTCGTCGTCGCCGTCGCCGTCGTCGCCGTCGCCGCCGTCGCCGTCGCCGCCGTCGTCGTCGCCGTCGTCGTCGCCGTCGTCCAGCCCCTCGGAGGTCCCTGGCCCCCCCCCCCCTGGCTCCCGCGGGCAGGGGCGTGCTCCGGAACGGGGTCCACGCAGGCCGACGGGGCATGTGTGCCACGGTGCCACCCGCCGTCGGCCCAGGTCCACGTGGGGCACCAGCGCTCTCGCGCCGCCTGGTGCTGGGGCCTCACTCCGACGTCTCTTGCTAGGCTGAAGCGCGGGCCCAAACCTGTCGGGGATATGGGGGTCAGCGATAGCTTGATCTATATGCGTCGAGGCAGCGTTTCTGATCGATGCAAGCGCTCGCAGCTGACCTGTGGCCGACCGGCGCTCGAAGCTGATATCCACTTCGGTAGGGTGGCGTCGTGTCGACGGGCGGCGACCCTGCCGCTGGCGTTCCACGTGGAACGCTGCGGGCGACCCAGAGTCGGTCGATGTTGAACGATCTGACGCTTCGGGAGCGGAGGAGGAGGAGAGAGGAGGAGAGGAGGAGGAGGGAGGGTAGGAGGAGGAGGGGGAGGAGGGGGGAGGATGAGGGGAAGGGGGGAGGAGGAGGAGGAGATGGAGGAGGAGGAGGAGGACGCTGCAGACACACAGTCTCTCGGAGGTCCGCGCGGAGTTCCTGGGTCGGCGCCGGTGGCCTCCCCGCCGCGAGGAGCGCGCCAGACCCATGGGTCGCCTCCTCCTCTTTCTAAAGCGAATAAGGGCTTCCAGCAGTAGGTGATCCGCATGTGGAAATCGACTCCAGGAGTTATCCACAGGTATACGCGACGAGTGCTGGACAAGGCCGACGAGATCATTGGCACGGATCGCGTCTTTGGCTCTCCCAGCGATATCATGGATCACCGTGCTGACAGATGGCAGAGGGTGTGGAGCAGTGACACCTTCAGTGCTGACAAGTTATGCTTCGGTTTGAGCTACCTTCGTCAGAGATCATCTCAGCAGGACAGCGAGCCGATTACGACGGACCACATTTGCCAGGCGGCATCCAGCATGAACGCGAAGAAGTCCAAGGGTATCGATGCTATGGGCCCAGTGGAGGTTCAGCGACTACCACCATCGGGCGCACACCAGCTGGGGCGATTGCTCAATCAGATCGAGGAGATCGGGATGTGGCCTCCGCAGGTCAATCTCGTCATCGGAGCGATCGCCCCCAAGCCGAAAGGGGGAGACAGAGTTTTATGACTGTTACCGTTTCTGGTCAAGTTTTGGGCGAATATACGCAGCGCGGCTACATTGCAATGGACCTCCGAGGCGGACGAGCATTTGGACACGGCGGTCCGTGGGTCCTCGGCACTGCAAGCGGCGTTGGTTCGAGGGTTGTTAGATGAGTCCGCACGAGAGTTCCACATCTCTTCAGCTACATTATTGTTGGACATTGAAAAATTTTACGACAGTTTGGACATCACTAAGTTATGTGTTGCGGCCCTCACACAAGGATTCCCCGCCAAGGTACTGTTCATGGAGCTCAAGATATGTATGGTGCCGAGGGTGCTGAAAGATCGCAGATGGGTTTCGCACGCAATACAGGCGCAGCGGGGTATCGTGGCGGGTTCGCCGAACGGTGGTAGAATGGCTAAAGCGTTCCGAGGCACTATCATGGAGAGGGCTCACCAGCAGGACGGCATGCAGATCCTTTTGAGAACATTCGTTGGCGACACGGTGATCCGTGCGGAAGGTACTGCGAAGCAAACCACATCCTTGACGATTGAATCGGGCGCCATGGTATGCGATGAGCTACGTCAAGCAGGCTTAGTCATCAGTGAGAAGACCACGGTGGTAGCTTCGGACAACGTAATCTTGAGTGATGTCACAACGGGCCTACGTCGACTGGGAGTACCAGTCACTCCTTCGCATGATGCGGTCGACCTGGGCATGGACACCAGTGCAGGGCGCCGACGCACCTGCATCAAATCGAATGAGAAAAGGAAGAAGGCAGCTAAACGAACATGGGCGATCAAGAGGATGAGAAGGCATGCGAAGTTACGAGGCATTGCGACGGCGCTATGGACTGCAGGGTCTGGACCACAGGGTGCTCACGCTCATCACGCGTTTGGTGTCGCAGGACACGTTATGACATATTTAAGGGGACAGGCAGCGCAGTGTTCGGTTGGTGCTGGACCAAGACGCTGCTTGACTATGGCATTGGCGATGGTGTGCCAAGTCAGTGGGGCTCGAGCATTTCCACATGTGGCTGAAGATGTGGCGTGAGCATCCTGAACTGCATGCGCGTGTGGCGACGGCTTGGGTCAGCATCCGCAGGAGGCTGCTACTGGCTGGGTCACGCAGATGGAGATTTGCGACAGGCCCTATCGGAGCGACGATTTCCACGCCGATGGATATTGGATTGGCCCCGCACTCGCCTGTGCAATGTGAGCCGGCAAATGTAACATGGACTACTCCTTCTTACGCAGGCGTCGAGTACGAGCAGTTCCACGGCGACTTCGCGGACATCCCGAGGGACATCGAGGACACGATAGATAGACAACTATGGAGTGTATCTTCGAGGCGCGGCAACGGCAGCGACCTGTGCGAGGGGGCTGACGCGTGCCAGGTCTCCAGGGAGCTGCGCGCGCCCAGGGGCGACGACGGCTCCGACGACTGGGCGCTGACTGCGGCAATGACGACAGGGGGCCAGTGGCCCCGTGAGAGGTTGCAAGAGGCGGGGTACAATCTACCCAGCCTTCTTTGTCCTAGGTGCCAACTGGCGCCTGCGAGTCTGTCTCGCCGCATTTGGGAATGCGAGGCCAATGTTGGCCACCCAGATTGCGCGAAATCCGATTCCTCGATCCCCCAGGCTAGAGCGAATCACGAGAGTTCGCTGAGTTTCTTTCTCCGCGGGGCCCCTGGTCGGGCTGAAATGGCCCCGACCTTCTCCGACGACCTTCCCATTGTTTTTCGCTTCGGCTTGATCCAGGACATGCCCAGAGACGCCGAGGGTTTCGCTACCGTGTTCGGGGGCGGTTCGGGTGGGACGTTTTCTGACGACCCTCGGCGTCGGAGGGTTGGTTCTGGGGTAGTCGCGTTGGCCCCAGAAGGCCAGTTCTGGAAGTCGGTCTGGGGCGTCGGCGCTACCCTACAGGGGAAGCGACAGAGTGCTCCTCGTGCTGAGATCACCGCGTCTGCGATCGCGGTGGAGGAAGTCCCAGGCCGACCTCTGTTGTATCACAGATCACCAGCCATTGTTGAGGTCCTGGGCCAAAGGTCGGTCCGTTGGTTTTGAGGCCCTTGAGGGGAGGGGGGGGGGGTTGGGGGGGGGGAAGGGAATGCGGCCCTTTGGGCCAGGATCGCCGCTGCGTTTCGTGCCAGAGCGCCCGATGACGTCGTGCTCAAATGGGTGGCCCCCCACCAGGAGGAGCCCACGCGCCACAGGGATCAGACGTGCCTGCACTTCGGCAACGAATGTGCCGATGCGCTTGCAGGGGCGATGGCTGAGAAGGCTTGGTCAGAATTCGTGTTGGCCGACCATCCCGCCGACCGAAGGGATGCGGAGTTGTGTTTGATCCGCCGGCGCGCTAGGAGGGCCTTGGGGGGGCTGTCCATGGTGGCGGACCCGTGGGCCCACGAGCGCCTCACGGCGCAGTCTCAAAAACCGCCCCCTAGGTTGGCGAGAGAGCCCAGGGCCTCCGAGCATCGGTGGTGTCGCGTGGGTGCTAAGTATGATTGTGTTAAGTGTTCGGGTTTTTCGAATCAGGACTCGATTTGTCAAGCTTGTGAGACTCTGCGCGGGTCGAGGGGTCGTCAGGAATTCGAACCCGTCCGAGGGAAGTGTATTATTGGAGGCAAAGAGCTCCATCCGTCGCACGCACTGCAGTACTGGAGTTCGTACTGCCTCACCTTTTGTAGCACTTGCGGTTTTAGTTCCACCACCGACCCCCGACAGTTCTTGAGAGTATGCAAGCTCACCCCCAAGGGGAAGCATAATCTGGCAAGGATTGTAGCGGGCAAGTGCCCCCACCCGTCGGGGCCCCCGAAAGCTGCGCGAGAAGCGTTGCGCAGTCGTTTTCAGCGGTAATCTACCAATGCAGGACCTTCGACGTCCCTTTCCTGGAATATCCCTCTCCTCCTCCTCAGCCTGCTCGCCCTCGCCCGCGTCCAGACCTGCAGCGTGCCATCCCAGAATCGGGCACGCCAAAACCAAAAACTAAACGGATTCGTCTGGCTCAGGCCCAGACTTGAACCCAGGGGGGAGTTTGCCTGCAGCGAGGGCGCACAGGGCCCTCCTCCCCCAGGTGCCAATCTGATCAGGTCGGCACGGTCTGCCGAGCTTCACAAACTTCCCCCTCGTGCCCGTCGCCCCGCACAGCTGACGCCAGAACCCCCCCCGGCAGAACTCCACCTCGCGGGGGAAGCCGAGGCCAGCAGGGACATGGGCACAAGGGGGGACTAACCATTCATTCGCCCTGAGGTCAAAGGTGGGCCGAGTGAGACACCTCAAGCACTTGATGCTCTTAGTGCCATACCCGATCCTATTGGTCGTGGCAGCCTTAGCTTCCTCAACCCTCAAGGCCCGATCCTTCCCCCTTAGCTTAGCCTCGGCGGCGCGAGCGGCATTGGAGCTGGGCACGTGCAGCTCTGGGGCACGAGATGCGACATGCAGTGCTACAGCGATTAAATGCTTCTGCACTCTCAAAGTCAGCTCGTCGACCCGAATGACCTCATTAACAGCACTGCCGGGTAGTTGGCACTTCTGCGCTCCACATTCAGCTGCCTTGTCGGCAGCTCCGCTGGCCAGCCATAGCCCCACGGGTGGTCCATCCACTCTCTCAGGGGCCGGCCTCGTGTGGCTCTTAACTTCACGCATCGCAACGGATCGGCCCTGGGCTGCTTCCCAGAACCTCCTCCAAGCAAACACATTGACACTGTGGGTGAAATTGGGTCCTTTCTTGAACCCCGAGATCGTAACAGCCGAGTCCGCAGCAACATCCATGCTTCCAGTGGTGCACTTCAGGGCTTGGATGATGGCCTCGAGCTCGGCGAGGGGCACCGACTGCTTAAACCCTGGGAGAGATCCACACCCCCAACCTACCCGTCGGTCTGCCCCCCGAATTATGGAAAACCCCCACCCACACCTTCTAAGCCTGGGCTCAGCCGAGCACGGTCCCCCCGACCCGTCCGCCCCAACCACCGCGCCCCCCTCCTCCAGATCAATCGGCCCTAGGCTGAGGCTGGGGGAGAAAACTGGCTCATACGAGGTGTCGACGAGCGCCGGCCCAGACGTCCACCTCAAAGGGGGCAGCCCCCTCAACCAGAAACACGGCACCTCTTCCCATTCTAGCTCAGCCTGGGGCAGCAGGTCGAGCGCCACCTCCTCGATTTCCGAATTGTCGGGGCAGCTCCGCATCTGATGGAAAAGAGTCTCCGACTCCGCCCCGCACCTAGGACACGATGGAAGACGGCGAGGCATGCCTGGGGCAGGCGATGGAGGCTCGGCCTCCTCCAGCCCGATCTGGTCTTCCCAGGCCTGCTGCTCCAGCAAGTCATCGAGACCGAAAACGTCGCCCTCCTCGTCCAAACCCGCGGCAACGGGCCGCCCCACCTCGGGGCGCGGGTCGGGGCCAGCCTGCTCCTCGGGCGCTGGGTCGGGCCGAGGACCGCCGTCGCCGCCGCCACCACCGCCGCCGTGGGGAGGGAAAAGAGGAGGGCGGAGGCTCTCTCCCCCAAAACGCCTGGCGGCTGGCCACAGCCCCCCCGTGAGCACCATTTTCAAGACGGCCGCCAGATCGCGCCGCCGCCTTCCCTCCAATCGCTTCAAGTGGCGATAGGCAACCGTGAAATCTGCACTGTGCTCCAGCCCCCGACCGCGGTAGTGCTGAGCCGCTTTGGCCCGCACCTGGCCTTCAAGGGGGCCTCGGAGATCAGAATCAAGGAGCCTCTCAGGATCACAGGTTCTCAAATCGAAAGTGGCCCCGTCGGATCTGCCAATCCAAAGCCGGGGCTCAGGAGCATCCCAATTAATGTCCTGTGGACAAGCGATCACAGCCGTGAGGGGCCCTCGAACGTGGCTCCACCTTCTTTTTTACATTGAGCAATTGCTTACA